GAGACGAAAACGGCGCGCAACGGTACCACACGTGGGAGGCCATTTCCACTCATGATTGCTCAACTCGGCTTTCCAGTGCATTCCAAAGCATATACGACGTTTCGATCAAATTTTGACACGAATTTCCATTGCCTGTTCAACACAACTGTAGTTATATGAACCCACATAGCCAACCAGAGCGAGCACATAGCCCAAAGTTTTGCCTTACCGAAAGTCGGGACTCCATTCTCCGTCTGATGAGTTATTCTCGGAAGATCGACCAAAGGCACATGCTTATAAGCATTTCCTGAAAGATGCTCACATCACCACAAAAGCAATAGTTATTTCAAGAGGGGCACACGATTCTCAACGCCTACTCATCCCCCATCTCCATTACACCACCAACGCCGCCTCGGGTGTAATCTAGCCGCATGCCAAAGTTGCCCAAAACTGCTGCCCGGACCTTAACATTTAAAACACTGCCAGTCATTCCGCGGCAGGCATTATGCCGAGACTTAATCACTTACACTTAAAATCGGGGCAAGATAAAATCATTTGATTTGGTTAATCTTTGAAAAAGCCTGCGTTCTAAGTGTCAGGATCAGTCAAAAGAATTATCAAAGTAGTTATTCTCAAGGGCCAAAAGCGATGAGCTGAAAGTGCTCAGAAAGGGTAAGAAGCTTCAGGACCAGTGACTGCCTTTCACCAGCAACATATTCGGTCTCCACACTAATTTTGCCTTTCTTGTTGGATGAAACGCGGACAAATACCTTTGATTAAAAAATTGTCATTTTTCTCTCAGCAAGCCTCCATTTCTGAAATGCTGCTCTTATTTCGTTTCGCTTAGGGCCTTACCGCAGTGTTACATGATTGGTCACGGAAACGATGCGTTGTAGTATACTTGTTACTTACGTCGGCGCGTTGAAGGGAGCTTGCCACCTTCCACTTTTTGTCATAAAAAGCTGTGTTCGTATTAAAAATAGGCAGATTAAGTTGGTAGGGGTCCACTACTTTTAGCCAGCAATGTCCGGTGGCCGCCACGCGGCTCGCACCGGGCATGGTCTGTGGCGAGTGTCGGGCTGGCGTACGTGGCCCACACCGGCGTTCGCAACATACATTCCCGTGGTCCCACTTTCAGCAGTCAGTGTTTTCGTTTATTTTTTCCACTGTGCCTTCCGGTCTCCACGCGCGCGCGGCTGGGTTGTACGCGCGCCCGACTCCGGCGTGGCGAAAACCGACGTCTGTTGCGGCGCCGTTACGATTCGCATCGCGTGGGTGGCCAAACCCCAGTGTGGTGCCGTTCGGCCGCTGGCGGTATGAAATCAACTGGACGACGCATAATCCACGCACTTTTTTACGCACGGCCCAGCACTGATGCGGCATGCGCTGCGCGTCTGGCGCGACCCCGGCCCGGCAGTACCGGGAGCGACGACGACGGTCGGATCCCAGTCCCCGTTTTACATGTTACCAAACACAGAGACTGCAATGCCATGTCATTGCAACCTATCTCTTAGCTCAGCGCCGGCGTGTTTCATTTCGCTATCGCACTAACTCGATAATGGATATAGGTACTTCACCACTGTACACGACTTCGTTATAACTATATTATGTTATGACTATATGCTATGATATGTTGTGACTACATGTTATGACTATGTTATGGCCTTGCATACGCGGCACATCTTCACTTTTCGGAGGTAATGTTAGTACATGCGTGGAAAACCGTGATGCCCATTCGTGATGTTGCCAAACATTGACTGTCGTCGAGAAAATACAGTCCTAACTATAGTTGACGTCTTTGAACAGGCCAGGTTCCATTCAGTGCCGTTCCACAAGCAGAAATATGTCGGTGGTATACATTTGGGGCCCTTCTGACCAGACGTCACCACCATTCAAAGCCAATGAAGCGGGTTTAGATGTTTTTTTAAGCTCACGTCTCTAAAAATGCTCAACCTGTTTGGTTTGGCACACTGCTGTCTGTCACTTCCGATCACATTGGCCGTATATATTAGAAACTATTGATTTCGATCGCGCACGCCGTTTTCCGCAGCACCGTTTCCGTAACAAGCTCGGTCAGCGTGCAACCATGATCCACCCCAGCGTCGTGGTTCTGCCGTTAACCGTGCAGGTGTTGATCAAGGCGAGGTGCAGCTTATTGCTGTGTTATTTGATGCGAATAAGGCATGTGGCCCTGAGATACATCCCCAGAAGATTTGGTTCCAATGCATGCTTTGACGACATTAGTGCTCGTGCATTTAGTAAATGTACCGCCAGACTCAGTGTGCCACTGGTCAAGCTACATATGTTTTGTCCCTGCAGCCGGGATCCTGTCCAAAGCGGTGGAGGCGGGCGAAGGTTGTTCGGATTTTCAAGAAAGGTGACAAAAGCCTCGGAGAAATACCACCATGTACCTCTGCCTTCCTGCTCCCTTCTCATCCTTGTCTTGAACAGTTGCTGGAGAATACTGCTTTTTAGATATTGTGTCACGACCAACATGGCGCACCCTTGACCGGCCATGTTTTGTGTTTAGACAGCACCAAAGAGCAGTGTGCTTTCATCTACCGTTCGGAGCCGCCCCCCCCCCCCCCCCCCTGTGGGCAGTGTCCACGTGCTCTCCCGGCGCACCCCAACATAGATAAACTAGCAGGTATTGGCCAAGTGCTCCCTTTATCTGTCCTGGATGTTACAAACGTAATTCGGGAGCGGAAAGTGCGTGCGGTCGTTACGTTTCTCTTTGGTTCACGCGGATAATTGTGTGTTCATAGTTAAGCCCCACAAAGGGACTGTCTTTCTCCGTTTGTTGTGACTCATGCTTGCCTGGTATGTCAGGCAGCACTCTAGCTCCGGGTAGTTTGAATTATGTGTGTCGCTTTCATACCGTCTTATTGATGAATGTGGCTGCCACAACAAATAGTAGCGCCCATGAATCAATCAGTGAAAGTGATCATTTCAATCAATTTTTCATCAATTTCAAATCAATTTAATCAATCAGTGAAACAGTAATCATTTCAAGTACTGAATATATTCTTCTGTGAACAAACAATTGAAGACAAAATGCACCAACACAGTCGCCAAGTTTTATCAAGCTATCGCGCTGAGAATCACTTAACATGACAGCATCTTGTACACAGCTTCTCACATTCTACTAAATGCTGGGATATCCACTTAGCAGTAGTTCGCGCGTGTGGCGGAACATTTTGTCTTACTGCTCCCTGATCTGCAGAGACGCTTGCGACCGAGGGCCGAAATAATTTACCAATCCGCATCCAAAAACGTATAAGCCACCAGAAATTTCAAGACTGCTTCGGGTCGCAGTTGTTTATGAGGAAGCTTTGCAACAAATCAGAGCAGCGTTTAGTAAAACATTGCGTTTGTGGAAGAATGATACATTTTCCAAGATCATCGATGTTGAAAACGATAATGGTTTTGCATGGCGGTGTTTGAGTGAGGCTAAACCGAATAACCCCTTTAATTTTCTCCTCATGTCTGATGTCATAAACCAAGCATGATAAAAAGATGGGCTTGAACCTGCTCTACATGCTCCGTCACAAAACAACAGTTGGTAAAAAGCCCACCGCACCTGTGTCGGAATAACGTTTCCAGGATCTTGGTCACCGAGGGACGTCTTCTCCGGCCTTTGGTCTCAGGCAGAAACTGCAACAGCGACCTCGGTCCTGGATACTTCCTTTAGCGGCCCCCTTGTGGTATGAAATATTCACACCCGATTGTCCAGCACCTTCGAGTTCCAAGAGTTTGTTAGGCGCGAAGCGCGGCTGATTTGTGAGTGGTGGCACTATGGCCATATAAACGTAGTGGTCAAATGGCAAGAGGGACAGTTTTTTTTTTAGCAATTGCGAACGTGGCAAAACTTGGACTGTCTCGGAAAATAGCCTCATGAAGACAGACTTGTTCGATCATTCCATCCTGTGTTTCCCGAGACAACATAATATGAACGTGGAATGTGAGTTCGCACTTAGCGCATCCACAAAAAGACAGAGGTAACGAATCTGATGAAAATTGCATCGCGGAAACGCCCTACCGCTGCCGCGCAGCAATAGCGAGGTTGCGTTAACGGAAACATACAACTGTAGCTCTCATGCCATTTCTGGTTTCTCATTTTTTAGTTGAAGATTGTGTGACCAGATGCTCTATGAACAGACACTTTTTGCTTGATTATGCCTGGGAAAACGTGTAATCAGCGTTGTAAAAAAATCACTATTGCCAAAATAATTATGTTGTGCGCGTAATGAACTATGGTGTAATACTTGGATGTACATGTTTGGGGTGTAAATTGTCACATACTTCAATATGTTTAATTTACGTCAATCGTGCCACTCGGTGCCTGCGGGGTCTGAATTCCATGATAATGCGCGGCTTGAAACACTGCCGCTTTCTTCACTCATTGCCCTGCCATTCGCATAACACACGCATGTCCCTTTGGGAAAAATATTTTAAAACAACCACGCAACGCTGTATCCACTCGCATGCCAAAACCACTTTAGGCGAGAGACGGGAAAAACTGCGTTCTCCAAAAGCGCCAAGAACTTGCGCGCTCTCTTCAGCATGATGTACCAAACGTGCTTATTAGACCGTCACAACCATTTGCTCCCACGCCGTAAAATATCAGAGCCAATCAATCTATCTTGTCGATCTTCACTTCTGTGCGAGATTGATAAGATATCAAGTGTATCTTCCCACAATAGGGAATAAAATACTTTCGACGTTTGCCTTGCATCCTCCCAGCATGAAGCCAAAGCTGCACAATAACCCACTAAAGCATTGAGGAGATCCGAAGTACGTGATGATTTTGAATGAAGCTTCGTGCCGGCTAATATGCTATTTATGACATACGCACACCCTAGGCCGCCTTTCTAGGGAATGCATCCATTTTCGAAACAGTATCGGCAGAAAAAACGGTAAAATGCTTACGATACACAACTTCATACAAAGCGCTGTCGATTGGTTGAAGTGAGACCGTCACCCATGACGTCATACACAAGCAGGCCGTGCTGTTGAACAGCTCAGTCTTCATCTGCTGTTACCGGGTCGGCGAAGTGGATGACTTGCTTCGCTGCCTCCTCCGCAGCCGTCCACGACTCTTCGCTCCTGTAAGGCCAAACGCTCACGGTCAAACAACCGGCGGCAGCTTTCGCCAGCGGGCGACGCAGCCTCTGCAAAGGTAAGTAGTAATTGGAATGATACGCATTTTTAGTAAAAACACACCATTATTGATCGCAAATGAGACAAGCTATTTCGTTAACGCTCAACTCCAAGGAAAATGGTTCGTCCGACCGTATACAAAAGAATGGATATCATAAGACGTTGCCAATATCTAATAATAATGCATCGTAATGAGTGCAAACGTTCACGAATCATGAGCTAGAATTCCGCGCATCGTAAAAGTAAGCAATTTAGGATATACACACATAATGACTTAGGAGGCAACAGGCTGCTCACAGGTCGACATACGGCTGAAATGTGATACAAACAGAGGTGAAGACGCAGTACGCTGCTGACCGACACCTATAACACCTGTAGCGCTGGAGCCGCGGTCAACCCCCCCCCCCCCCGCCCCTCATGAGCCACACAAGATGGCGGCCGCGCGATCCCGCCTAATCATCGCACAATCACGTGGGCGCCGGAGCACACCGTTATTATCGCCGGCCACTCACCTGGACGGCAGGCGAGTTACGTAGCCGGCCATCTCGGCCACCTTGGGGTCGGCCACGGTCAGGCAGGTCAGGCAGCCGTCCACCGTGCCCAGCACGATGCTCTTGCCGTCGTCGGAGCTGTTGATGGCCGTGAGCTCGGCCGGCACGCGGTAGTTGGCCACCATCTTGCCGTCGTTCATTCTGAAGAAGGCGGCGGGTGGGACGAGTGGCTTGTAGTTGTCATGGAGCATTTATTCGTATGGTAGTGCGTTCAGCGGTACGGGCTAAGCAGCATGACAGTCACCGGTTCCGAAACGCAGCCGTATGCCGTAAACCCGAGTCGCCATGTAAGTGACATATTGTTATTCATTCGTCATGCAGTAATTGCGTCAGCTGTTACCCCGCGGATGTTGGCGAGAGCGCTCAATAAGCGTGTCGCTAAAAGACGTGACACTTCTTCAAAACGCAAGCCACTTTAGAAAACCGTTGGATCAACAGCGTATTGCCATTTCTCAAATTTGTATGGCTACGCTACAAGTCAACTCTGTACGTAATACAACGGGATTCGTGTGCCCAGGACAAAAGTGCTCGGGAAGTCTACGTCCCACCAATAAAATGCACTCAAACAAGACGTAGTGGCTGCATGTGAACCATTCATAGCCACCACGCACACAGCGCAAGAGCGAGTCGTTTTTACTGACATGAACCAGACCCGCTAATGCTCCACAGCAGCTGTCTGTGGCAGCCACGCCGTCTGGGGTCACGCTGGGAACCGGCCGAGCCTGACCTGAACACCCGGAGCGTCTTGCTGCCGCTGTGGTAGTAGAGGACGTAGCGGTCCGTCTTGGTGAACCTAGTGATGACGCTGAAGACGCCCTGAGCCACGCGCGGAATCAGCGTCCGCACGCTGGTGCCGTGGCGGAGTTCGATCACCTATCAACATACAACAAGCCACGTCCAATGCAGCACGAATTCGCGAGGGAAAAATGAATCATTTTCAGGTCGGTGTAATTCACCTCCGGGTCTTCCGACGTATCTGCTGAGCCTTTCAGCAGGTCGGTGTGGGTGTCGGGCTGCTGGATGAGGATTCGCTTTGTACCGGAGCTGACGTTTCCTTTTTCAACTCAGCTTCAAGCGTGGGTGCGAAAACTATGTAGGGGTTTGAGGTAGTGGCATTGCTCAGGGGAGGCTTTGGGGCTACGCTCCCCCCCCCCCCCCCACCCAGTGCTATATGGCGTGGGTCACCCTGGAGCCGAAGACCCCCAGTACTTTTTGGTAGCCTAAAATACCTGTGAAACGTTTGAACATATAACGGCCCTTGATAAATCCAGCCAGGGTTTCGAGCCGGAAAAGGGTCCTCCGAATGCAGCATAGGGACGAAAGCGACGAAAAAAGGGGGCTCCTGTGACCCTTGACTGAAAGGGCCTTCATGATTCGATTTGGTCTCAGTCTGGCAAAGTCCTGGCCACGCCACTGATCTGAGGGGCCAGATTGCAAACTGAACATCGCCATCGCCCCTGAGGTCTGCAAACTTCATTCGATGGCAAACTTAGATCCGTTTTGTGGAAATTTTTAATTGAGATCAAATTGGTCCACAAGAACGCCACAGCATTTTGAACAAAAATGTCTGACAAGTGGCAGCAACGATCTGCCATTCAATGTCCAACTCACCACAAGTCAAGCATAAAAAAGCCCGAACTAACCGGCAAAACTCTTCCAGTGCCCCAATATCACGTACCAAAGCATTTTATGATTACCGAAGATCACTTAAGGTCAAGTTGGGTCAGGGAATGACCTAACCGTGCCTAAAACTTTGACTTGAATCCCACCCAACGTGCCTTCACTTTCAGTTGTTCTACAATTACTGTCAGGAAAAGGGCGAAGTGACAGGACACTTTCTGGATAAGGTTCAGTAGCTTTAAACATACCCCTAGCATGGCTTATATAAAAGTCCAAGTTGGCCAAAGTGGGTCAAGTAACAATGATGTGGTTTTGGTTGGTGATGCTGTCATTAACATTCGCTGTCGTCTTTCGCTACGCGCCAGCAACGGATCAGGAGGCGACGACAGGTCAATGTTATTGTGACCTTAAGACCTTGACATATACTTGTGACCCCTCTGACCTAAACATGTTGGGCTGGAGCGTCGTAATCTACCGTAACGGCCACACAAATAGGCCAGCTTCTGTCGTACACACATGGCATTGTGAACACTTTTGAAGATTCAAACAAGAATGCGACGTGAGCCTACGCCCCATATCACGTTGCAATCCAATGGGAGAGTTTTGTCGTACATTTATCGTACAGGCATAGCCTTGAATGACTTAGACAACAACATCTAGAACACGCAGGTTGTTGACATGTACTTAGCCTTTAGAGCTTTCAAATCCTCGAAGCCACGGCAAAACTTGTGCCATCAGAGCAAATGTACTACTCTTTTTTCGTTGATCCATCCTGCAGTGACATGATTACCTCATTCTCTAAGCAAAACCAAAAAAATATTCGAATGAACTTGCTCGCGCAACAAGGACAGTCCCATTGCACCGCGTGCGGGAAAATGGCCCGGGGCTGTCGGGCTCGGCGCCAGGTCTCCGCCAGCGCTGTCCTTAGGTGTCATCCCACAACGGAGACCACCATCGTAGGCAGCTTAACGCGCCACGCGAGCCGTCAGCTCCTCGTCCCAGCCGGACGTGCTATTAGCACCACTGAAGCTCAGGCCGGCGCCGGCGGACAGACCGTCAGCACCGCGGACCTCTCGACCACGTGACTGTCCGCACCGCAGACCTCTCGGCCACCGGACTGTCAGCACCGCAGACTTCTCGGCCACGTGGCCGTCAGCACCGCAGACCTCTCGACCACGTGACCGTCAGTACCGCAGACCTCTCGACCACGTGACTGCCAGCACCGCAGACCTCTCGGCCACATGACTATCAGCACCGCAGACCTCTCGACCACGTGACCGTCAGCACCGCGGGCTGCCAGCACCGCAGACCTCTCGACCACGTGACTATCAGCACCACAGACCTTTCGGTCACCAGGTGGTCAGCCCAACTGACCTCCAGACCGCCGCGGGCCGGCGCGAACAGGCCGTGACGGCCGTCGCGCGTGACCGAGCCGTTCCAGCGCGGCACCGAGCGCAGGAAGCGGCGCGTGCGCACGTCCAGCAGGTTACCCTTGTCCGAGTCGATCAGCGCCACCTGCGACGGCTTGTTGGGCATCACCACCTGGCGGGCGGTGCGGAGGGCTGGTGAAACATCACGCGAAGACACGCAGAAGTAACGGTAACTGCTGGCGCGGCCGCTGCCGCGACAGACCGGAGGTCAATGAAATGGTCATGCACTGGGGGTGTTTAGCTTGGCTTCCTGACAATGCGCCTTTTGAGATCATGGTTTTTGCAAGTGGTTTTTACCACGCTTCCTTCCTCAGAGGTGGCGCGGTAAAACGAGGGCCACGGACATATTTGTCGGGTCCTGTTTGGAATTCTCCGTGTCGGGGTGCACGCATTATTTCGCTTCCGTCCATGACATCATCACGCGGACGATAAAATCAATTGAGCATAACCATGCGCTGTCCCATTAGATGCACCGAACTAGATGCATATCCTGGTGCTATCTCCCGGCCAAAGATCAATCACTGCTGGCTGACCAGCCCTTACGATCTGGTGGAAGTCCTTGTAGTTGGAGTACTTCAGAACCATCTTGTTGATGAGCGCGCCGGTCTTGGCGTTGTGCACGAACAGCGTGTCCTTGAGCGCCTCGTTGCCAGGCAACACCAGGTGGACATTATCGGAGGTGACCACGACGCTGCGCAGGAGCCGGATCGGGTACTCGATCTGGTACAGCTGCTCGCCGGACGGGATGGTCCTGGCCGTCACCTGGTCAGTGGACGGGGCGGGGAACGCTAGACTTGGTGCACGTGCCGGCCGACGTGTGACGGGCGCTCTCGGTACACAAACGGACAATCACGCAGCAACCTCCACATCCACGTGCACATGCCGGCGGACGTGTGACGGGCGCTCTCAGTACACAAACGGACAATCACGCAGCAACCTCCACATCCACGTGCACATGCCGGCGGACGTGTGACGGGCGCTCTCGGTACACAAACGGACAATCACGCAGCAACCTCCACATCCACGTGCACATGCCGGCGGAAGTGTGACGGGCGCTCCCGATACATAAATGGACAATCACGCAGTAACCTCCACATCCACGTGCATGTGCCGGCGGACGTGTGACGGGCGCTCCCGATACACAAACGGACAATCACGCAGCAACCTCCACATCCACGTGCACATGCCGGCGGACGTGTCACGGGCGCTCCCGATACACAAACGGACAATCACGCAGTAACCTCCACATCCACGTGCATGTGCCGGCGGACGTGTGACGGGCGCTCCCGATACACAAACGGACAGCCAGGCAGTGACCTCCCCATCCACGTGCACATGCCGGCGGACGTGTGACGGGCGCTCCCGATACACAAACGGACAGCCAGGCAGTGACCTCCCCATCCACGTGCACATGCCGGCGGACGTGTGACGGGCGCTATCGGTACACAAACGGACAACCACGCAGTAACCTTCCCATCCTTCCTTCACCCATTACTGCAGGATGTACATTGACAACGGGTGGGCGCCCGGGGGGAACCCCGCGTGGTCAGGGATCGGTACGACCCGGTGATACCTAATGACGCACAAGTGTACTTAGAAAGATCCGTCGCTTTCCTTTGCAGATGTAGGTCAGTGATGTGCAGGACGGGCGCAATCACTGCTCCCATTACTTCCACTAACATTTGTCATTTAGATGGGCGCGAATAACCAATGCGAGAGACGCGCCTTTAAAACTCAATAACAAACTAATTAACTATATTTTAGGTGCTCGTAAGTCAATAACCAGGCTGCAGTGGGGCAATATTTAGTCACTTGAGCACCATGGATGTTTATATTTTTCATACCATCCATGCCGGCTCCAGATTCACTGTTTGTTGCCCCTCCCCTGCTCAACATCGGCCAGTCAGCATCGAACCGGAATCTAGTCAACTCGGCATCTGGGCATCAGGCTTGGTAAATTGACCGGGCAGGTCAGGCGTAGTGTTCAGGGTCAAACGACAACGCATTACCAATGCAACAACATGCTTGGCGTGGTGCAATAGGGAGCCATGAGTCTGGTAGCCTGTATTTAATTTACATCCTTGGCATTCAACCAAATGAGCTTTAGAATACCGCCAACCTGCGAGATGAGGCGGTGCGGGACCAGCGCTGAGTGACCGCATACTGTTAACACCAGCGTGACCAGCGCTGGGTGGCCGCATACTGTGAACACCAGCGTGACCAGCGCTGGGTGGCCGCATACTGTGAACACCAGCGTGACCAGCGCTGGGTGGCCGCATACTGTGAACACCAGCGTGACCAGCGCTGGGTGGCCGCATACTGTGAACACCAGCGTGACCAGCGCTGGGTGGCCGCATACTGTGAACACCAGCGTGACCAGCGCTGGGTGGCCGCATACTGTGAACACCAGCGTGACCAGCGCTGGGTGGCCGCATACTGTGAACACCAGCGTGACCAGCGCTGGGTGGCCGCATACTGTGAACACCGGCGTGACCAGCGCTGGGTGGCCGTATGCTGTGAACACCAGCGTGACCAGCGCTGGGTGGCCGCATACCCTTCACATTACCAAATGCCGCCATACTCACCACGCATCGGCTGTCTCCGATGGAGCCCGTCTTGCAGACGGACAGAAACTTGGTGTCCTTGTCGAACAGGGTCAGCTGCTTCACGTTCTTCTCCTCGGTGCGGAAGAGCACCTCGCCGGTCGTCACGTTCCAGATCAAGATGTTTCCCGACTCGGTGTTGACGATGTAGCTGTGTGTGCAGGACGACATGGGGACACCAGTGGGCAGCGTAAGCTGATGAAAATGGCGTCATCACATTTGGTACCCTTTGGTCGCATTCGTTACAGATGCATGGTGAGCATGAGTAACAGTTGGCAACGCTGGCGTGTCTTGTCGCAGCGGCAAGGCGGAGCCGGAGGTGTAGATCGGAGGGCAGGTTACAGGAGTTTGCCGACGCTCGGTGAAGAGGTGAGCCAAGAAAAGGGGCGGGGCCACCGGGCCGGCGCGTGCGTGGCGCCTGGCCGGGGTGCCGTTCAGGCGGCACCGCAACCCGCGTATGTGTCTGACACATAGGAAGGAGTGGTCTGAGCGGCCTGGAGTTACACGCCACAGTCTATGGCTGCTGCCAATATGAAGACAGCATAACGCGTCATCGATCAAACAAAATAAACACATTCAGGCAAAGCACAAGAGCATAAACAGGCATGCCTTTAGTGCTGGGCAGCGTAACCATGGGAACGTGAACCAAGCCAAGGCCTAAAACCATTCGTTCCAACAATGTTGTGGGTTAGCGTTGGTTGGGGAGAGTAGAACCAATATTTCAAAGAGTGCGGTGGTGTATTAAACTGTCCTGTGCCCATGGCGTCTTCCATTAGCGTCACCACAGCCTTGGGTCATTACAAGCAACAGGTCAGGTCAGCATGTAACCTTGTGAACCTACCCTGACGTCGGTGGTGACCTCCGAGTCACAACAGCCGGATAGGTGACCCCTGGCCATTTTGACAGGTGACCCCATGTTCAGCGGATCTGTTGTCAGTGGTGACCTCCGAGTCACAACAGCCGGATAGGTGACCCCTGGCCATTCTGACAGGTGACCCCACGTTCATCGGATCTGTTGTCGGTGGTGACTCCGCGCTCGTCAAAACAGCGTGAGAAGTCAGCCCGGGCTCCAGCTGACACGTGACTCTGACCTGCCGTCGGTGGTGACCTCGGCGTGGGTGACGATGGCGCCGAGCGGCGAGTCCGCCAGCCGGTTGAGCAGCTTGCCCAGCTTCAGGTGCCAGATGCCCACGCAGCTGCGCGCCACCGTCACGGCAATGTCGCGCCTCTGACGTCACAGCACCGGCCCGTCACACGCGCGCCCCGCTCAGCCCGGCGTCCGGGTCAGAGTCACGGCACCGGCGCCGGGGTCAGAGTCACGGCACCGGCGCCGGGTCAGAGTCACGGCACCGGCACCGGGTCAGAGTCACGGCACCGGTGCCGGGATCAGAATCACGGCACCGGCGCCGGGTCAGAGTCACGGCACCGACGCCGGGGTCAGAGTCACGGCACCGGCGCCGGGGTCAGAGCCACGGCACCGGCGCCGGGGTCAGAGTCACGGCACCGGCGCCGGGTCAGAGTCACGGCACCGGCGCCGGGGTCAGTCACGGCACTGGAGCCGGAGTCAGAGTCACGGCACCGACGCCGGCGTCAGAGTCACGGCACCGGCTGACCCGATCCGAATCATCCACGACATGTCTGGATTGAAGTTTTTGAAAGTTTTGATAATATTGAAAGTCAGCCGTGACGATGTGTAGACGCAGTGCTGAGCCGAATTTAAGCTTCGTAGCGTTTAGGATTAGCAGAACAGCCTAGAATGGCTGTTTGTTGGACACTAAGAATGTCGCCTAAGGGTGCGCATCACAATGGGTCGCTATTAAAGAGCTGTATTCCTCACGGGATATCCCGGTCACCAACGCGCATGAAGCCTCCGAATTGTGATGTTGTTACTCCATCCTGCCAAACGTTTCTCGTGTTTTACTGGTCGTTTTCTATTTATCCAAGTCTCGCTGTGGCTGATGAGTCACTGAGTGAAAGATCTCGCAAGGACGGCATCGAGAGGCCGAAGCCGGTCGGCTCGATCCAGGGTGATCGCGTGGGGGCGCGATCGACCACCTGGACGGGTTCACTTCACCTGGGAGAGGCTGATGGAGTCCACCTGCATCTCGTGCCGGTCGATGTGGTACACCTGCTCGAAGATGTTGTTGATGTTCCACACCTTGACCGTCCGGTCCAGCGATGAAGTGATGACCTGCAGGCAACACACAGACACCCAAGTACGGACAGAAGCTTTTAAACAAGGTCGGCAGTGTGGTTCAGCAAAATGACTGTGTCAAACGACGAGCCTGCATGTGCACTCCTGCAGGGTGATGAGATGGGCAATGGGATACAATAAGCGGAGCGTGGAGTGGTGCCCAGTCTCTGACTACGTCACGGCAGCCATTCAAATTTCTGGACATTTAGAAAACAGCTGTGTTTCAGCCGGTGGATCAGCCTCAGTGGATGCTCCAGTACAGCTGTGCTTCAGTTGCATTGGGGCCATTTGTGGCACAGATGTCGGCTTTTGAGGGTGAACTTGGACACTCGGTCTCACCGAGACAGACGCATGGTCAGAAATTGCGGAGCCACACGTCACCACCACAACGTTTATCTGCAAGGGTTTCTCGCAGTTGAGAATACACCAGCCCTCTTCCCATCCGTGATAAGGTAGTCATCTACCCGAGAGTAAGCATGCCCTGATGGGGGGGGGGGGGGGGGCGAGGGAAGGGGAACTGCGCTGACCGAGTTCCACGTGCCGACGGTGAGTGACGTCGTGTGGATGATGCGGCCGAAGTGGGCGTCCAACACCTTCATCAGCTTACAGGTCTGCAAACTCCACACGTACAGACTCTTCCTGAAACGAATACCCGACAATGGGACAGGGAAATGTCAAATATTCTCTCATCTAACTGCACTCAGTGTTTGATCCGGGTTCTGCATACTCAGGAACTCCCCTGCCACATGAACACCGGCCCCCTATTCGCCGGAGAACTAAATCGCAATAAGAGCGACAGCCAGCACCGCGCACAAGAGAAATGCGATCACACGTGAATAAAATAACCCCGACAGTTACCTATATCGCTTGCGTAATCGTACACCCCGTCACCGGTACTGCGCCTGTCAGACCCGGACACGGCGCGAGCACGCCCGGATCTGAGCCAACGCAACCGTCCACAACCGCAGCCCCGGCTCGTCATCCCATGTAACCGGACCGGTGTTGAGCGCGGAGCCCCGCCGTGACCCAGGGATCTCCTCCTATGACCCGTAGAGACCAACCGTGACCCGGGGAGCCCCGCCGTGACTCGGGGAGCCCCTCTCCTGTGACCCGGGGAGCCCTGCCGTGACTCGGGGATCCCCTCCCATGACCTGTAGAGATCAGCTGTAACCCGGGGAGCCCCGCCGTGACCCGGGGATCCCCGCCGTGACCCGGGGATCCCCGCCGTGACCCGGGGAGCCCCGCCGTGACCCGGGGAGCCCCGCCGTGACCCGGGGAGCCCCTCTCCCGTGACCCGGGGATCCCCGCCGTGACCCGGGGAGCCCCGCCGTGACCCGGGGATCCCCGCCGTGACCCGGGGAGCCCCTCTCCCGTGACCCGGGGATCCCCGCCGTGACCCGGGGAGCCCCGCCGTGACCCGGGGAGCCCCGCCGTGACTCGGGGAGCCCCTCTCCCGTGACCCGGGGATCCCCGCCGTGACCCGGGGATCCCCGCCGTGACCCGGGGAGCCCCGCCGTGACTCGGGGAGCCCCTCTCCCGTGACCTGGGGAGCTCGGGCGTGACCCGCAGTGACTGACCTGACGCCGGCAATGGCGTAGTCCTTCTCCAGGCTGAGCACACACGAGTTGGACCGCATCGGTCGCGAGCTGACGTTGCGGATTCCGTGCGGCAGCAGGAGGCTGGTGCACGGCCGCCTCTTGCTGTCCGTCACGGTCGTCCTCAGGTCCCAGATCTGGCGAGGCCGAGAGATCAGCAGAGGCTGAGGACCTCTCAAGCCGCAAACGTTCGCGCCCCACTTGGGTAATCAAGGTTATGCCGTACAAGCGAAAGGAGCCGTGTTGTAAGTGGTGCGACAAAGGTTTTTGCCGAAGACTTGGTCCCCACTCGCAGGCTTTACTCGGTGTACTGGCCACCGGGCATATCATATGTACATTGCAAGACTGCATGTATGAACAGGGAAGGTGGCCTTTGTACCTCTCTGCATCACGTTATGTGAAGTACAGTTTTTTTTTTACAGTCGCTATGCTGACTTATGATCTAACGCACAATTTCAAATGTACTACGATACAATCCTGATCCCGGCAATATTCTCTCAGCAACCATTTTCAGGATTCATTAGTTCCCCATTGTACACATAGTCGTTGTACACCTGAAGTGTTTGAACTGCCTTTGAGACAGCACAAGGGCTCATTTTCATTGGCTGCGCCATATTTCATCGGCTAAATGTCTCCGCGAGGGGCATCTCTGTCCAGTTCGCCCGTGACAGTGGCTGCATCAGCCACGGGCGCGCACCTGGAACCCCTGCATGAAGGTGCCGAGCAGGTAGGCGCCGTTGTCCTCCAGCTGCAGCTGCAGCAGGGGCTGCCTGTTCTCCAGCAACTCCAGCTGGGAGTAGCGCTGGCGGCCGCGGCTCAGTACCGCCACGCCCAGGTCGTCGTCGCCCTGGCACGTAAACACGCGGCCCCGGCCGGGCATCTCCGTCACCAGGGCGCTGGCGGCGCGGCCGGCCGACCAGGTCAGATTGCGCGCGTGCAGTGGACTAGTCGGTCGGGGATAACCTCAACTTATGATGCAAAACTCTGCCCCTGCTCGAGCAGACTCGCCGGGCGGGGGACGGTCGTTAGCGCATGGAGACGAACAGGCGGCGCGGAGGTGCGATTCCCTGCTCTGTCGGGTCAACACGTGGGCCAGCGCCGGCAGGCGGGAGGCTGGCATCTCGCAACAACCCAGCAACGAGCAGCGATCACGAATTAGAGCGGAAACAAGATAAGATGAGGTGTCATTCAGGTTTCCGCTCCCATCGGTCCAATATGTTACCTGTGTAAAGGGCAGTTGGAATCACGGAGAACATATTACTTTCCGCCGCCAATTTAGAGCTCCCTGGCCACCATTTCATTAAATTTGTATCGGTGATATCGCTGCCATTCTGAGAAAGTGGCGCACGCAATAAAACTGAAAGTTCCGAGAGCGGCTGACTGCAGGGTGTTTCCAGTGCGAGAGTGAATGACAACAGCTTCACAATTACGCCATGCCATTCCGATCAGTCAGCGATCACCAACAATGGCGACGTGTCTCGGACGCTGACCTGAAGAATTCCAGAGGCTCCAGTACCCGGCCTTCCAGAACGGACGCCAGACGCATCCTGTTCGGATCGTCGCTCGTTCGGTAGATGGTCGAGTGTTCACTCTCGGACACAAAGTCCATCGCTGTCGGACAAAGGCGGGCCGGGTGCCGACGTAAGCCGCGGACCGGGGCCGTCGACCCGCCAGCGCACCACCAGCAGAGCGGGCTTTTGACGGATTCACACTGCTGACTGGAGGCGTCCGTGTTGACTCACAACTCAAGCACACACACGCGGTTCACAAAACAATGTCAATACTTAATCTAGTCAGATCCACCTTGCAGCACACTCGGTTATACGGTGGGATGTCCTGATACGCGCAGGGAGACGCATGATGCTACAGCATACCAACCATCATAATGCTACACTTTACCAGCCCAGGGAAGGGACGGAAGCGTCACCGGCACGCTGGTTGGTATTAGCGAAGCAGCCACGACCGGCACTGTCACTGGTCAGGATCACACAACGCCCCAGGGCCCGACGGCCACGCCCCGGATGCCACAACTGAACCAGCGCTCCTTCACTCTTCGAAGCATCAACCGACGGCTTTCATCACTACGCAGAACTACGTAAACTTCTACTACTAGACCAACTCTCTCTTAGTCAGCTGCCTCTAATGCCTGAACTTGAGTGCCTGTTTATCAACTGCGTGCATCTGGTTCGTGCAGTCCATAAGTCCTAACTTTGAAGTTACTCGTTAAGTTTGGTGAAAGTACCGCTTCAAGATTGCCAGTTTCAAGCATCGTACCGAGCTCAATGGATCTGAAGTAAGGCCTTGCTTGCCGCTTTCCCCCTCCCTCCACCAGTTCAACCACTTCCCATCAATTTCGACCACAGGTCACGTAGATGGCACTCAATAATAAGACCAAGCGAGCGGCAGCGGCTATTCGGCGACCCCCGACAGCTGCCCTGCGCACCTCCTCCCTCACAGCGCTGCACCAGCCGCCGCCCGTAAATCGGCGTCCGGACGTACCGAGCACCTGGTGTCCGGTGATGTTGTCCCAGACGTTCCGAGCACCTGGTGTCCGGTGATGTTGTCCCAGACGTTCCGAGCACCTGGTGTCCGGTGATGTTATCCCAGACGTTCCGAGCACCTGGTGTCCGGTGATGTTGTCCTAGACGTTCCGAGCACCTGGTGTCCGGTGATGTTATCCCACACGTACCGAGCACCTGGTGTCCAGTAGTGTTGTCCCAAACGTACCGAACACCTGGTCTTTCGTGGTGTTGTCCTATACGCACCGCGCACCTGGTGTCCGGTGATGTTGTCCCAGACGTTCCGAGCACCTGGTGTCCGGTAATGTTATCCCACACGTACCGAGCACCTGGTGTCCAGTAGTGTTGTCCCAAACGTACCAAACACCTGGTCTTTCGTGGTGTTATCCCATACGTACCGCGCACCTGGTGTCCGGTGATGTTGTCCCAGACGTTCCGAGCACCTGGTATCCGGTGATGTTATCCCACACGTACCGAGCACCTGGTGTCCAGTAGTGTTGTCCCAAACGTACCGAGCACCTGGCCTTTCGTGGTGTTGTCCCATACGTACCGCGCACCTGGTGTCCGGTGATGTTGTCCCACACGTACCGAGCACCTGGTGTCCAGTAGTGTTGTCCCAAACGTACCGAACACCTGGTCTGTCGTGGTGTTGTCCCATACGTACCGCGCACCTGATGTCCGGTGATGTTGTCCCACACGTACCGAGCACCTGGTGTCCGGTGATGTTGTCCCACACGTACCGAGCACCTGGTGTCCGGTGATGTTGTCCCACACGTACCGAGCACCTGGTGTCCAGTAGTGTTGTCCCAAACGTACCGAACACCTGGTCTTTCGTGGTGTTGTCCCATACGTACCGCGCACCTGGTGTCGGGTGATGTTGTCCCACACGTACCGAGCACTTGGTGTCCGGTGATGTTGTCCCACACGTACCGAGCACCTGGTGTCCGGTGATGTTGTCCACACGTACCGAGCACCTGGTGTCCAGTAGTGTTGTCCCAAACGTACCGAACACCTGGTCTTTCGTGGTGTTGTCCCATACGTACCGCGCACCTGGTGTCCGGTGATGTTGTCCCACACTTACCGAGCACCTGGTGTCCGGTGATGTTGTCCCACACGTACCGAGCACCTGGCGTCCGGTGGTGTTGTCCTAGACGTACCGAGCACCTGGCGCTCAGTGGCATCGTCCCATACGTACCGAGCACCTGGTGTCCCGTGATGTTGTCCCACACGTACTGAGCACCTGGTGTCCCGTGATGTTGTCCCACACGTACCGAGCACCTGGTGTCCGGTGGTGTTGTCCTAGACGTACTGAACATCTGGCGTCCGGTGATGTTGTCCCAGACGTACCGAGCACCTGGTGTCCGGTGGTGTTGTCCCAACGTTCGAGCTCCTGGCCTCGCAGGTCGAACAGCACGCTGCCCGCCTGGCTGTAGATCACCAGTCGGCTGTTGGAGAGCTGGGTGCCCACGATGTCATACTCCGGGTGCGGGTTCTCCACCACCACGTACTCGCTGGTCATCAGGTTGATAGCTACCGTCTGCGAACAGGATCAATAGTAGCAGGGGCGGCCAGATGGACAGTCAATAGTTCCAGGAAGTGATCGGGTAGACACGACCGATAGTGATGGGAGGTAGTCAGGTGGGCAGAGTCAAGGGTCAAAATAAGGTTAGATGGACTGGGTCAGTAGTCGCAGACAGCGGTCGGTTGGATACGGTGGATAATCGCGAAAGGTGGACCGAATCGGACCGGATCTGCAGCCACCCGGAGTGATAAGAAGTCAGGGAGAGAAGGCCAGCAGCCACAGGGGATGATCAGGTGGGCACAGTCAATGGTTGCTTGAGGTAGTCAGATGAAGACGGTCGGCAACCGCGCGAGTTGGTCAGGTGAACGGCCAGTAGTCACAGGGGGTGAGAACAAGTCAGGTGGATGCGGTCAGCATTCACAGGGTGTGAGGAGAGGCCAGGTGAATAGGGCCGATAGTTGCAAGCATGCCACATGTGGACCATGCCAATGCTCACAGGGGGCCACAAAAGTCCAGGTGGGCGGTGTCAATGGACACAACGGCGTACAGCGGAAACAGCTCTAGAGAGCAGCCGGGGGGTGGGGGGGGGGGGGGGGAGGACGCGCACCAGGAACAACTAGGCGCTGCTGACGCGCGGCAGTTCATGGCCAGACGGTAACTGCAATATCAAGCTCTTAAAGGAGGTGTCGTTTTGCGAACAAGTTAGAGGTTTGATAATGGAAAGTGGCTAAGCCTATCTCTGAAATACGCAAAAAACATATTCTCTTCAACTTTGATCCACCTTTTTCTCAAAGTACAAGAGAGGGAAAGGCCCCAAACTGAATGGCATACAATACTCCTAGTCAGAAAGGTATCAACCTCACAACAAGTCAGTAGATTGGATCTGACGTGTGCGACCAAAGCCGACGACGGACCCCATCCGGCGTCCGATGTGAGCTGATTACACGCCATTGAGCCAAGCGTGGATGTCGCACTTGGGGGGGGGGGGGGGGGGGGGGGGTCCCACACAGCGGCCTGCGCAGTCACGCGCGTATTACATTACCTCGCCACAAACCACGTCCGACGGGAGTTCCCGACAGCGCTCCGCTCTATCGGCCAGCCGAGTTCCAATGATCAGCGGAAGGTATCTAAAGCCAGCCTCGCCCCAATGACGAGCTGAAGGTGTAAGGTGGAGCTTGCATCTTTCTTTTGTTCACATAATTGCGCGCCGGCAACGAAGGAAAACATTACTATCCTTATACCCAATATATATATATATATATATATATATATATATATATATATATATGCAAGTGTTGTTAAAGACCTTGGCGTAGGTGCATTCATAAGTTTTTTATGTTCTTGCTCCAATTTTCTGGATGGTTCTCTGCTGCGCAATGGCTCTCTGCCCACCATTAAGACTAAAAAGTAGTCCGCCGATGTTTGGCATTCATTGATTGTACTGACGGTTCGGAATGACATATTTCATGTTCAAGATTGAACATACAGCATACAAGTGACGAATATATGATTACATCTTGCAGTTAGGTATAAGAATAAGGCTTCATCAATTTCAGTTAAATATAGTTGCCAAATTGTATAGATTCTAAATTAGGTGGCTGACATTTTTTAAGGGCACAAGAATTCAAGCGGCAAAATATGTACTGAATAGTAAGATGTACCATCTATGGATGATTTCGATCGTTCCTAAATGGGGTGAAAGGTGGCTGAGGGACCGGATTGTTTGTTTTAGTTCCGGTGGCGATGTTTTGATCGTGACAGTCTTAGAAACATAAAGCTTCCTCCTGTTTAATGATGTTATGATGGTAGGGTTTCTGGTGAGGTCGTCTCGGTTGATGTTCCGGCCGTGTTTTTTTTTTGCACGTGCTCTTTTCCAGCGCCGTCAACCAAATGCATCGTCAACCATCTTGGAAGTGTAGTGGTAGTGACACCAACGCAGTTTGATTGCTTTAGAAGCCTGCAATCTCCTATGTCACAATGCAATCTGTTAACGACGTTGGTTCGTTTCAGAGGGCCAGAGTGTGCTGTGAGGTTATTTTTCATGATGAGTTTAGTGGTCGTTCTGTTTTCGTAGTAGATGGTGAGCGTTATCCTGTCGCCCTGGTTGACTGGCATGACGCTCCCAGATATCATTTTCTTGAGGATACGCTCGTCCGTCTTATACCTATAAGACATTTGATTCGGATAGAACAGCTCGATTGAAATTGTTTTATGTTTGATGGCGACAGTTTTTGTCTGATATGGAGAAATAAAGCTGCTGATCTCATGGTCGATGACGCTATGTTGGTGTCACCACCACTGCACTTTCGAGGCGGTTTACGATGCACTTGGTTGACGGCGCTGGAAAAGAGCATGTGCGAAAAGAGCACGGCCGGAACATCAACCGAGACGACCTCACCGGAAATGCTGCCGTCGTAACACCATCATCAAACAGGAAGAATCTTTATGTTCCTAAGGCTGTCACGATCAAAACATCATCGATGGAACTGAACAAGCAAACTAACCCCTCAGTCGCTCTTCACCTCATTTAGGGAAGATTGAAACCATCCGTGGGTGGTATATCTTACTATTCAGCACGTGTTTTGCTGCTTGAATTCTTACGTTCCTAAAAAATGTCAACCACCTACTTGAGACTCTGTACAATTTGGCGGTTGAACTGAACTTGGTGAAATCTAATTGCTATACCTAACTGTAATATGTAATCATATATTCGTGACTTGTATGCCGTGTGCACAACTTTGAGAATAGAATATATCATTCCGAAACGTTAGTACGATCAATAGGTGTCAAACATCGGCGAGCTACTTTTTAGTCGTAATGGTGAGCAGAGAGCCATAATTAGAAAACTAGAGCAAGAACAGAAAAAGCTTATAAAATGCACCTATGCCAAGGTCTTTATCAGCACCGACGGAAGATTATTTGCTGCCTACATATATCAACATATATGTGTGTATATATATATATATATATATATATATATATATATATATATATATATATATATATATATATATATATATATATATATGTTGATATATATTCATATATTATAAAACTGTAAGGGCTCGAGGAACGAGGAACGGAGGAATCTAAATCTAATGAGGAGCTGAAGGTATCTAAGTACCGCCTCGCTCTAATGATGAGCTTAAGGTATCTAGAGCCAGCCGCGCTCGAATGATGAGCTGAAGGTGTCTAAGATCAGCCTCGCTTCAACGAAGAGCTGAAGATCTCTAGCGCCAGCCGCGCTTCAATGAGGAGCTGAAGGTATCTAAGGCCAGTCTCACTCCAATGACGAGCTGAGGGTATCTAAGACCAGCCTCGCTCCAATAATGAGCTGAATGTATCTAAGGCCAGCCTCGTTCCAATAACGAGCTGAAGGTATCTAAGGCCAGCCTCTCTCCAATAACGGGCTGAAGGTATCTAAGGCCAGCATCGCTCCAATGACGAGCTGAAGGTATCTAAGGCCAGCATCGCTCCAATGACGAGCTGAAGGGATCTAAGGCCAGTCTCACTCCAATGACGAGCTGAAGGTATCTGGACCCAGCTTCGCTCCAATGACGAGCTGAAGGTATCTAAGGCCAGCCTTGCTCCAATGACGAGCTGAAGGTATCTAGACCCAGCTTCGCTCCAATGACGAGCTGAAGGTATCTAAGGCCAGCCTTGCTCCAATGACGAGCTGAAGCTATCTAAGGTCAGCCTCGCTTCAATGCCGAGCTGAAGGTATCTAAGGCCAGCCTCGTTCCAATGACGAACTGAAGATATCCTGGGCTGAGTGTCCGCTGGCCAAGTGCCAGCCGTGGCGTGACCAAGAGCTGCGCCGGCAGCAGGCCGTGGCAGCCCGCTACGTGCCCACCCAGTCGATGCCACCAGCGCCGCAGCTGTGCCGGGCCGCAGCGCGGGTCGCTGGCGCCGGCGGCCGCACCTGGTTATTGCTGCTGTGCGCCGAGGCGTACTTGTTGTCGGGGCTGAGCTGCAGACCCTGCATGATGCCCTCGATGCGCGGGTTGGTCTCGCGCGTCAGATCGCTCGTGCTCAGGTCCCAGGTGACGAACTTGTTGCTGACGGAGACGATGTAGCGCAGGTCGGCCGTCAAGCGGAACCCGAACACGGCGAACTGGTGGCCCTCCAGCGAGTACTGGCGGCAGGCGGGCCGCCGCTCGCGTCATACCTCAGGCCGCGTGCCGGCCATTGGAAGCGCACGCCACCAGTCGTCTGTCACCGGTGCATTGTCCAGCAAGCTGTTCTGAAGAGATTGCTCCTCACTACTAGCGCACGTCTGCGGCGACAGCACTGCCAGTACCTGCCCGGGCACGTCTCGCACGCCACTGCCTACATCGACTCGCTCGTGGGGGATTCCACCTACCGCGATGCCAAACGAGCGCGGCGGCAGCGAGCGGGAGGAGAGCTGAGGAGCGAGCTGGCGGGCCGAGCGGCTGATCAACACACTGCACAGGGACGGTCCGTGGCGCGGCAACAACAGCGGGCGATGCAGGGGACCTAGCGCGACAAGCCCCTACCGAGCGACAACGGGGGGGGGGGGGGGTCTGTCCCTCTCGTGTAAGCCCATGGGCATGTGACTTGAGCGAACGTATACGCCCGTGGCGGTAGATACCAGGACGGCACACATATGCGCCTGGTCCACAAAGCCGACCCCGTGTCCCGCACCCGGAGCCCTCCCTCCAAGCGGTCACGTGACCGAGGATGTGCCCCTGTGACGGAGGCGTAGGCGGGTCTGGTGCGGAGCCCACCTTGAGTGGGCCGCCGGGCGTGTGCAGGCAGTGGTAGGTGGGCAGCAGGGCACAGTCGCGCGGTCCCTCCTCGTCGCAGAGCTCGAGCAGCGCGCGCACATTGGCGTTGGCCGCCCGCTCGGGCAGGAGCCGCCCCACCAGCTGCGACGCCAGCATGTCCGGGTACACGGACAAGATGGCGCCACCCAGCCGCAGCGCGTCCGCCACCAGCATCATCTCCCTGGGCGGCGCCGCGTGGTCGGTCAGCGGCTGCTGCGCGTGCGCTCGTGCGCAGGTCCAGCGCACGCGATCGGAACGTGACCAGCCCTGGCCAGTGCTCCACACCCCGTGGCAATCTGGGCTTCGTAATACCGGTGCAGTGAGAGACATTTCAAGGCCGAGGTCAGTTTCGTTACGCTCAGCTCGATGGTGGTGAATGCGTCCCACATTGCCCATGTCGTTTGGCTACAGCAGCGCATCCACATGGCTCATGATAAAGTATGCACCATTCAAGATTCGAACTCAGTCTTCCGAATCCGTGACAAATCACCGTAAATGCCATAAGTAACGACGGTAACACGATCGCAGCACCCGCCATTAACATTGCCAGACCATGACTCCGTTCAAATGACGAGGTGACAGCGACGGAACTCGCCTTTTGCGCCGGTAGATCTCCTCTCTGTTGCGGGCGACAGCGGTGTCGAGCAATGACAGTGTGAGACAAGAGACGGGAGAGACGCCTCACCGCATGCCAAACCAAACGCATTTATCAAGAGCTCAACTCAAGGACACAGCCCCTGAGCCACGGGCTATGGGGCATGACCCAGGCAGCCGAGGTCGGTGTAGGGCAATATCACCCTAGGAAAAAGCACACGTGGTGTGATAAATGGAGGACCCCTTCCTTTAGCGGTGACAACGACAACTGTGTCCTTGAGCGCTCTCGTTTTGGCGGTACATTGGTTTACTGGTTTGCGGCCCATCACTTAACGCCAGGCAGTTTATTTGGGGTACTGCACAGTTTAGATGGGGCCGATTCGTAAAAACTCATGCAATGCGCGGTTGGCAGCCACCATCTGTAGCAACTGCAAGCTGTCGGCAGCAATCGATGATGTGCATTTAGCCGCTGATTGGGCGTGGTGGTTCGAAGACTATCATTCATGTAAAACAAGCTCAACGGCGGGGCAGGATGCAATCAAGGACGGTGATCACTGCACAGTCACTGCATTTATTTCGAGATTGGTGTTTTTGTTACGCCTCTTCATGCCATCGGACCGTAATGGCTGAGGAGCGACACGATGCTGAGAATTCCAAACATGCGAACACAGTGAAAAGCGGCAACCCCACCATGCTCAGCATTGAAAATGAGCCTGAAGAAGAAATGTCGTTGCCAGAGCGTACACCCTAACCATTGTTCAAGGCCAGTTTATTCGAGCTTAATGCATGAAAATTCACGAACAACGATAAACTTGTTCCACAACTTTATCGGCGAACAAACATTTCAGATTGAGTTTCATGTCAGATTCATGCAGTTTATTGGGCCCGACAGTGACGGATCCGGCCACGCGACAGCTGGCTGTGACATTATTATCATTTAGGTGCCGAAGGGCATAACGTAGCAGGCATAACGTAGCACGCGAGACGGGTGGTAGAAGACCATACGCATGCTAAACGGTCAACTCTTCGAATTTTGTTAATCACCGCAGCCAATTTCTTACGTAGCTCTACGATTAAACAGTATACGTTACCCGTTTTCAAACCACCAAAAGAACTTCTGGGGGCAGGCAGGCCGCCATTGAACCGTACGACAGCCCCTGGCCGCCGATCCCGTCACTGCCGGTTCTCCCGACGGCCGGTGGCGGCGCTGCAGTCGTGCCACTCTCACCTAGACGCCTCTCGGTCGTGGACGTTGTTGCACGCGTCCTCGAAGTCACTGAGCACCGCCTGCAGCGGACACGAGCACATCTTGGCATGCAGCCACTGGTAGTTGAAGAGGACGTGCTCGTAGAGGCCGGCGAACCGACGGGCGCGCACTAGATGGAACGGTAATTCTCCGAACTGCGGAGGGGGGGGGGGGGGGGGAGGTGAGCCACGGCTAGGGTCACACGGCGGCCCACATCGAGCCGAGGACTTCAGCTTCCGTGACAGGCTGGACGGTCACGTGGACCGCCCGGTGACAGGGCGCGTGACGTCTGCAGCGCTATTTTGACAATCTTCACACGGCATTGCCAAGCCATGTGCATCCAAGTGGAATCAGGTTGCAAACGTCAGCGGAGCTGCTTTGACCATGGGAATCCCAGAACGACCCCGATTTGATCACGAGAATCCCCGACCGCTGCAATGTGCGAGCGAGCTGGAAAATATAGACTGAATTCTTTCGCTTATACACCTGTGGCTTACATAACCGGTGGTCGCCGTGGTCCATCCGGCGCAACAGGGAACATCTCCCAGTTTACGATGGCATGTGAACGGAATCACCGGTGCGATAATGTTGCTGGTATTACACAATTTGCATATATTCTCTATCGTCAGAATTTACATAGCCAGCAAATCCTAGTCGTTACTTCCCCCCCCCCCCGCCAGACACAAAAAACCGTCCGCTCAGCTGTACTCCACGGTCGACATCGCGGCGACGCAGGCGTGGACCCCACCTTGCGGAGGTTGTAGCGGGAGACGGTGCCGTCCTTGGCGTGGAACACCAGCGGCTGCAAGGGCACCTTGCGGTCCGCCTCACCCTCCTTCTCCTTCAGGTTGAACCTGTTCACGGGGCAGAACGAGCCTCAGGAAAGCCTCCCCGCAAACACTTAGTCACGTGCGTGTGGCATGGAGTTACATTGAGGCCCTGGGGTGCTGGATTTATACAAAATAGTGGCACTGTTATAAGCCTGTATTCCGAATCCTTGTGCGCGGTACTGTAATCACAGGCGTCCAACGAACACAGGCCTCGTAAATCAGGACGAAACTGGTGTTCTTTATGCTGCCATTCACGAAAGTCGCCACCTTGAATATCAGAATATCAAAGTAAGCCTGTCTTTTTGTATATATGCATGTGTACACACACACACACACACACACACACACACACACACACACACACACACACATATATATATATATATATATATATATATATATATATATATATATATATATATATATATAACTGCAAGTAGTCGTGATGCGGCAAATACTTGTGATCGATAGCATGGGGTGTGTTCATAACTTCCCGGTCACGTAGTAAAGCAAGGAGCTAATAAGACGTGGCAGACTTCTGTGGAAACATCCGACGGCGATTGCCCAAAGCCAGGTTTGAGTTCAAAATGCTACAAATGTCAAATACGGCGAGGGTTTTCTGATTCCTTTTAACGCCTTTCAGGTAACCATCAAACACTTAGGTATTTCATAAAGCCGCTTACATAATCTTCTCATCCATCGCCCATCCTTGTCCACGAAGGCGCTGTAGACAGCAGGAATTCTGAGCGGGCAAACGGTTTCCACCACTGTTTCGCCAAAGAGTTACGAACCAAGACCAGATCTACGACTACATCGACCAGATCGACCACGTGACGACCAGGTCCCAGAGGTTCCCCTTTTAAAATATGAGACCCTTGACTGTTTCGATTTTCCGTCGTGCAAAGAGGAGCGACGGCTGCTCGAGTTAGATCCATATAAGGAATGTGGTCCAGCTGGCTTAAGTGGACGACACTTGGAGCGCGCTCCCAGGCTGCCAGTGCCAAGCTCAATGTTGTACCGCCTGACTGTAACAGAAAAGATTTTCCGGTTCGGTGAAAATAAGCCATCGCGATTGTGGTTTACCAACAGGGCGACAAAAAAACATCGATTAAGTGTACGTCAGCATCGCTGCTGCCGCTTTGTTCAAACGTATCGGAGGGAAACCACAAATATGGACAAGTTTTGAAGGTGCAATGCACAGCTTGGCACGAAAACCAATTTAACTTGAAACGACCAATCTAAGTTGGCATTTGAGGCGCTTGGCACTTGACACACGTGCAGTTCCCTGGGTTCCAAAAACTGCGCCGCTAATGAACAACTTTTGAATTAGGGAAGCCTGCCAGATAAACTGAAAAAGCTAATGCGTCTGAGAACAATCGTGTCCGATTCACGCCCCGAAGTCCGTTCTCCGAAACTCACAGACATTAAGCTCAATGTCGTCAGCAAAAGCCCAGTATGATACCAATGATCTCGAGTGTCACCAAAAATGGCTGAACGGCTGTGAAGACGATATTTGGGTGACACCGCAGACCACCTGGTCCGCTGAATCCGCCTCAAAACAAAGACGTGCCAAGCGGAAGGTGGCCGGAGGCTGAGGAGCGCCCACAAAATGTGCTCGTGGCGTTTTACAGGGGTCACGTAGCGCTGATGCCATGAAAAAAATTACTTCTGTACTTGTCCGAACGTAATGATATACTGCAAGATATGACGTTTCCGAACGTGTGGACCAAACTGAACCCCATTAAATGCAGCATTAATGCTTGCACTGACAAAGATAATGCCCAATCGTTGCATGCTACCGGCAGAACAGCGCTGGGCGCGGAGCAGGCGCTGTCGGACCTCATTATGCTCGACTTACAACTAACTTTTGCCGCTCATGTAGGCGCAGCAGACTCAAAGGCAAAGCCAATGTCCGGGCTGATGATACCCAGCGCGTGAAATCCCTATCTACACCGTCACGCTCATTTCGCCCATGGCGGAGCTCGCTTGGCACGTTTGATGCACATGCGCGGACCTTTATGGTGCATAGCAGTGTAGTTTGGCCTGGTGCTGTACTAACAGACTGGACTGCAAAACTCTCCTCGCACACTTTCTGGTGTTCCTCATAACAAATAACTGGCAATATCCCTAATATCACCAGTTTGCACAGAACGATCCAATATCCATCTACAATACGTCTACCAACGACTCGGCATCACTTATCTCCTTTCAGCTATCTGCACAGGTCTGATGGATAACGCCACCTCGTCTTTGGAGATTTAATTTGGCAGGGCCAGGCTGTTCAAAATTTGTAATTCAGTCGCCTTCTGGCAACATGAAATATTTGTTGAACTCGTTTGCCACCGTAGACCTCTTTTGTGTACCAAAAACATTTAAAAATCCACTGTTCGTCAAGACGGCTCCGCCGGGAAAGCTAGTTACACACGAGTGTATAGCTTCACAAAGGCTCTGTTGAGTTGCAAGCCCACGCTATTATTGAGCTGCACCAGCTTCGCCTGTTTTGTCGACCTGCACCGTGCAGGCTAAAAGGGCTTTCTCAGATCCCATACAAAATGTGCTCAACCAACAAAGAAAGAAACAAATAGGCAGAAGTTGAATGGCGAGCGTTTGCCTTTCCTTCGGTGGTGATGTTCGATGCTGCAGTAGGAGGTGGCAGCTGTTGAGTAAGTGTTACACCCACCCAACAGAGACGTTAGTGGCAAGGGACGCGTGGGTGCGTCACTCCATTTTGTTTCTCCTCTTTTTCTCCCATGCATCTGATGATACCAAACTTCAAAAACTCATGACCCCATTTTCCCTCATTTTCGCTCATTTCTCAGTTTACAAGTCGCAAGGGCAAACAGGTCAGTTTTTTAGGGTTTATGATCAGTATCTACCGTCAAGTGTTATGACCTTTACTGACGTGGCGTGCGTGTGTAGGGGTATTGCCTTCTTTTCTTCCACTTTCTCTCCCCTACCAACATGATGAAAACCAATGCCAAAAATTATTTCCTCAACTCTTCCTCAGATCATTGCTCATTTATCAGCCTGCAAGTTTTCAATAACAGGTCAGTCATGTTACGGCTTATCGACCTTTAACTGCAGACAACGCATGACCCTTTTTACTTGTAAGGGATAAAACAAAATTATTAGCTCGTTCCATGGCCTTCATTTGCCTTGATCTTGGAAAATCTCGAAAGATCGTCTAACATCGTCAAGTTCGACGATGACACCATCGCATAAAAATCGGAACATTACCGTAGGCATATTCTAAGCAATGTATTTTTACGGTGACAGTTTATAATCTTAAGGCCAGACGCGGAAGAAAACTCGAAAACTAACAAAACGAGCATTTTGCATCCATGTGTTGAGCGTTTTATGACGTATGTAAATCTGACAGACAAGAGGAGTTTGCGTCACATATTTTCCAACAAGCAATTACGGTGCAAATTTCCTGTGAGCCCCAACGAGGTCACTTACTGGTCACTCACTCACTCACTGGCCACGTGTCCCGTGGTCACTTCGCCGACGTGGTAATGGCGAAGGGAAACTCGTAACAATCACTCACGGCCTTCGTCATCAAATACAGCGCTCTTCCAATGCGTTCAGAATTTGAAAGCTCCTGCGCGAATGAAAACAGCGACATTCTCTCACAGTCCGACCGAATGGCTGCGTCCGAGTGGGCAGCAGGAAAGCGCGCTTACACAATATCCAGAACTACATTAAACAAAAAAGCAGCGCAATTTAACGAAGAGCGAGTACACGAACAAGCCAATGTCAAAATTGTTCATCATCGCATGCAACACTGATCTCAGCGTTTCGGTATCATTTGCTTCTGGACAGATACAAGAAAAAACATTCCTTGTAAAAATGGTCATAATCATTGTCATGATTCAAATGTCAAGACGCTCTACCACTTCTATGGCCAAATAAAATAAAAACTGAAATGGTTGCCTGGATCTGACGAAGATATGTCTCAATGCTTCAGTGCGTTATTTTTACGCCAGTTTTATGTCAACGTGCATATTATCTAGAATGATCACGGCATCGCGACCCCCTGACCGCAACATGTGTGAAACTGTGTCCAAATGTGATCAATTACAAACATAATCAGACAGCTGCCGACTAAACCAAGTCATCATGTTCGGTGCCCATTCCTCAAAGCACTGGTAGTTTCACTTTTCATCACTTTCGTTTCGCTTTGGTACGCGTCGCCACTCAGAGCACGAATTACAAGACACCTTACACCAGCGGTGCGTTGCTTATTGAGAACCTCCTCGCTGGGAAAACGTTGTGGAGCTTGGAGTGGTGTTGTGGTGATGTAGTGCTTCAAGCGCTTCACCTCCAAGAGGTAATACGGCCTAGTTTCGCGGACTGCATTCGAAAAACCCCCAAGGGAATGAAACTATTCACAAAAATTAATTGCTTAACTTATTTATCATTGGCTTACGTGTCACATATGTTATCGATCAGATAGCTTCATAGGAATACAGTTGCATAGCAAACTGAAGTGTTCTGAAATTCTTCTGAAATTCTTTCCCTAAATGCTCCATGATTGCACAGTTCGGACACCTTGTGTCCGTTATTTCAGCCACGATGCAGGGTTATACCTAAAGGTAATAGCGCACACGCATATTGAAAGTCGTGACAAACATTATGTTTATCGTTTTGATGTACGGTTTGCAGCACTGTTTGCTGGATCGCGTCTGGACATCCACTCCCGAACAGCTCTAGGCGGCACAGGACCAACAGCTTCTTATCACGGCAAAACGAACAGAAAACGCTACTGGTCAGGACAAATACTGAACTACAGGGATTCGCAGGCACGGCAGTGACGACGACTTCATTGTGATCTAACTTCATGAACACTGCCGTCGGTACGGACAGACCAATACTGCGGTTCATGGTTCGTTGTTTCAAATGAGGGAGATGCACTCAAGGTCCTGTTTTTGCCTTATTTTTTGCCTCCTTATTATAAATGAGACTCATTACTCTTTGAAAGTCACATAAACACATAAGCCCTGCAAACGCACATAGATGGCAGCCTCGCATTCGTACCGCAGCAAATCCCGCTGCACGATGGTGAATGAACTTATCACGTCCACACTTGTTGGGCATCTTTCACTAGCCTTCGAAACCGAGCACGCTGCCTAGTGTTAGTAAGTTGAGGAGCGCTGACAGACAGGACTAAACCAAACCAGCCTTCTGAAATGCCGCGGTGCTCTCCGCAACTGCCACAAAACCGCGGCAACGCTTTATCTGGATACCTTCCCGATGATCGATATGTCCATGTAAGTCTCAGCAGGCATGGGAACAGCTAAATTCAAAAGGTCGTTAGCCGACATCCGCCTGCAGTATCAACCCGAGGCAACGAAAAATGTCAATCACCCGGTCGCTTTTGGTAACACGGATGTCTGCAGCATCGACGATTGTTCACTCCGATGTAATGGCATGGCTCGAAGGACGGCCAACGCTCCGCGCCAGCAACAATGTTTGAGCACACGCTAACGACCAGTGTTATACCGGCGAGAGGCCACTGACCCGTGCCGCTGTATCCCAGCGAGAGGCCACTGACCAGTGCCGCTGTATTCCAACGAGAGGCCGCTGACCTGTGCCGCTGTATCCCAGCGAGAGGCCACTGACCTGGGCTGCTGTATCCCAACGAGAGGCCACTGACCTGCGCCGCTGTATCCCAGCGAGAGGCCACTGGCCTGGGCTGCTGTATCCCAACGAGAGGCCACTGACCTGTGCCGCTGTATCTCGGTAAACCGGAATGGCTTGGGCGTGCCACCGCCCCAGATGCCCAGGAAGTAGTCGGCGATGGACGAGTGGAAATACTGGCTCAGGTTCTGGTTCGTGAAGTAACGCTTCTTGGCCGCCTCTTTGAACTGTCTGTGGAGGGTGAGTGGACGAAGTGTAACTCAGAGTTCGTTCATGGGTCAGACAGTGAAAAGGAGAAAGCGATCGTTGCCTATTGGTACGCGTTAAATTCACTTTCCTTTTTTGTTTAGGCAATGCGTTCTAGTCCAGGTTATACTTACGGTTGCACGCTTACAGTTTAAGCCACACAGAATATACAAACGAGAGTAGCAAAAGGACTCGCCCAGGTTTGTGGGACGGGCGGGGAGAGACAGGTGGAGGAAGAGGGGGCAGAGCAATGCATTCCGATTGGCTTCTCTTGCATCGCTCAGTCCTAATATTTCATTTGATCTATTTTTATGCCATCTACAAAGCCTCTACCATCGCGCCGCAGTTTCCTCGTAACTTCCAATTTTTGACGGGCCCTGGCGGCTTCAACCCCCGACTCTATTGCTTAATGTCGGTATGTCTGGCCCAGCTCGGTTGTTTCCCTTTCATCCGCATCCCTCAATTACCAGTAACTGTAGGAAACAGGTGGCCATGCCTCTTCCGCTCCGAGGGAACCTGGACGGCCAGCAATCAGCTCTGAGCCCCTGCGCCGGCAAAATGGCGGACGGCCAAACTGCGCCGCAGTGCTCCGGAGCAGAGCGGGTCAGTCTACCAGAGCGCTGACCCGAATCGGTCGTGGCCGCCGCGGCCGCGCTGCTGATTACGCCCATCATAAAACCAGCGGCGGCCGGCAGCACTAACGGGGCTAGCCTGTGGTACCAGTGGCAGCAGTGGCGGTACCTACCCAGTGGCAGAGGTAACGGTACGTACCTGTGGTACCAGTTGAGGACGCTGACCCCGTCCGCCTCCCGCTCGGAGAGATAGTTGGGCAGATCGTTCCTGATCCTGGTCCAGAGCAGCGGTGGGATTCTCCGGACCGGCGGCAGGTGGTACTGGTACACGTCATCGAGTACCTGATAAGACCGGTGGCTGATGGCACTGGTACACGTCATCGAGGGCCTGATAATAACGGTGGCAGGTGGCACTGGTACAGTCATCGGGGGCCTGATAATAACGGTGGCAGGTGGCACTGGTACACGTCATCGAGGGCCTGATAATAACGGTAGGCAGGTGGCACTGGTACAGTCATCGAGGGCCTGATAATAACCGAGGCAGGTGGCACTGGTACAAGTCATCGAGTACCTGATAATACTGGCGGCAGGTAGCGCTGGTGCAGGTAATCGAGTGCCTCATTATAACGGTGGCAGGTGTTACGGGTAAACACCAGAGAATGCCTGGGAACGTCGGGTGCCGGTGACATTGGTACATGCCACAGCTTGACTGGAAACCTGCGCATATGATGAACGAACGAACAAAGGAAACATGGCTTGTGAGGCTGGAAAGACCCGATTCCCGCTATGTTCGACGCACAATGTCGGTAGCAGAACACCGCCGGCATTTAGACATCAAGAAATCAGAGTCACCGGCGGGCACATGCAAGGGAGTGGGGTAGTCAAGGAGCTAAGGTTCTATAATAACCAGGAGGCGGACTTGGAATAACATACGGCTTATTTTATCTCTGGAAGTGGCTGTAATTGCTTCACCAATGCTTGCGAAATGGCGGTGGGTCCAGCTATGCAAATATGCTAAGCAACGCCACGGGCTGCGCAAACAATGGTTAATTTTGAATTACAGATCAAAACATGCAACGGTGTATCCGCCAACGCAAGCGCCGACGCAACGTTTGCAATCTCCAAGCATATGCAGCCAGGTCTGGTCTCCAAGCAGCCAGGTGTGGTTTCCTATTCGGTTGGGCTGGAGGGGGGGGGGGGGGGAGCCAGAGCTCCGCGAGTTTTAGCTGGTCCTCCGAAATGAAAGTGGCTCGATTTCAGAGAGAAATTTGTTTTTCACGAGCATTTTGCGTGTGGGCTTAGCCATTTATTGCTGTTCCCCCGAGGCATTTTCCAAAACTACGGTCAGGTCAACATTTGGCGGATGCTACATGGATGAACATGTAACCGTGCGGCGATCAGGAACAGAACGGCACGCACGAAATATGTAGGTCAGATTTCAGCAGTTGCAAAAGATTGTCTGGGACGACATCGATTCGACAGAAGAATTGAAACCCGCTTGGGTAGACAGCACAAATTTATGTGTCATAGCTCTTTTTTCATAAATTTGAAAACATGCAGAATTTCATTTCATCGGTTATGATTCTGGACAACCTTCAAAAATGCGTGCTGGAAGGACTGTACAGACAACAAAACTACTGGGCTCCACAACCATAGTGATGCATTTAATGAATTCATCGCGGTAGGGTTTCATTAATATTTACCAAAAATGTTCAAAAGGCCTTATTTTGACCGGCCCGAAAATCGGGACGACTTATGTTGATTTTCGGTCCACAAAATTACTGAACTTTGACTTGCATCACGAACAAACAAACAGAATACCCATACACAGGTAACACATGAGCAAGGCTCTATGAGGCATCTAAGGCAACGTAGAGTTTCACAATCAAGTGTCAAAATGCTACGAGAGAACGCCACGCGTTCTGGATCGCATTGCCAATGCCAGGAGTAAGGGGTGGGGGACGGGGGGGGGGGCAAAAGGCCCGGTCACAGCTGCGAGCCATGACAAGTTACGTCGCGCCCGCATCAGGCGGAATCGAGCACCGGGAACATCGGTGCCTGACGACGCTGCCCGGTCCCCCACTGCCCGGAAACTTAGGCTCAACTTGGGCTCAGCTTGTGCTCAATTTGGGCCCAAACTTGGGTGGGAGGCAGCACTCGCACCTGGACTGGGCGCTGCTTAATATTTATGAGCTTAGACAACGTTAATGGTCTCATTGACAGATGGAGTCGCAATGCTGTGGGCATCGGGGTACTACCAATAGCCGGAACTCGTGGGAAGCGTAATGTTCCGTTGTAATTATTCACACCATTATTAATCAAGATAGACTGGGCACTTGATCAGTAGCAAGGAAGGCAAACTCCCCATCAGGTGATGACGGCACGTGATATTTATGAATAGCACCTGAGCGATTGGCGACTGATCACCGTTTATCAGCGTTCATCGTTCCTCCGTTTATCAGCGTTCTTTCTGAGCCTCCGTTAATTAGCGTTCTTTCTGAGCCCCTGTTAATCAGCGTTTTTCTGAGCCTGCGTTCTCTGCAGCCCGAGAATCCGCTCGCGCCAACAGGGGCCGTCGGGTTCACGCGGCTCTGATGCAGCAGTCCTGTTAGAGCGCGCGCTGGAGCGGCTCGTCGACGGAAGCACGATCCGGCGGTGCCGCTGCCCGCCGCAGCAGCGTCGCACGGCGCGGCGAACGGAGGGGGTACCTTGTCATCCAGTGAAATGAGGTCCTCCAGCTCGGACTCGGAGAGGCCAGACTTGGAGGCGGTGATGTAGGCCAGCGCGTGCGACACCAGCAGACGTCCGTGCTGAGTGAGTGGGCGGGAAGGGGAGGGGGTGTAGCGTCACGCAGGGGAGGAGTCGCCACGGGAGGTACTCCAGGCGCGCCAGATAGCGCGCCAGCGGGACGACGGAGAGTCGCAGAAAACGGGGAAAACAGGCCACGACAAGGCTTCAAGTAAGTGTTGTCCAATCACTCGTTGGTGCTTGAGAAAACGATACACACTTTCTGGAGACGGGAGGATCGCGGAACTCAAGGTGGAAGGTAATCTCTCTCATCACAGAGCCTGTATACTTACAATCCGTAAACGCAGAATCTGTTATCGCTCCCAAGATGTCGGTAAAGGCTCTTAGTAAACAATTCTAGCATTCCACAGAGCACTTGAAGGACGGCCAGCAAGGGATAACACACAGCATCCGAGGCAGGTGGGCGCGAACTTAAACTCGCTGCGTGATAACGACCGAGTGAATGACAGACCACCAGCCACCTTATCTGGGGACTCTACCGGCCCCAGGTCGCCGGCCATTCTGAGAGACCTGCTCGCGCTCCAACACGTGACAGTGCCATGTTCAGCGCAGTTACCGTATTAAGGCACGAAAGACGGTCACCCTTCTCCCACCTGCTTCTCGATTTTCTCGAAGAGCATCATGATGGAGTCCATGACGTTGCTGGCCAGGTGGGTGTCCTGCGGCCGCGAGTAGCTCTTCCAGCGGCAGATCTCGGCGAACACGAGCTTGACGAAGATGGGCAACGAGCAGCGGCCGAGCGCGTTGCTCACCATCCGCATCTGGTAGTTGTTGAGGTCCCGGTGGCCGTCCACCATCCAGCGCCTGGCCCAGGAGTGACGTCATACGGACGAGGTGACGCGGCGGCCGGCGCTGACGGGGCCCATGTCGGCAGAGCGGGGAACACAGGCCGTGTCCGTTCTCTGCATGGTTACTGACAGGCTGGCGGAGATGCGGGGAGTGACAACGTGCACACCGGTTCTGGCGGATCCACGGCCTATAAACGCACGTGCACCGTAGTTTGTCCGTTGCGAATATTGCATGACGCTTAGGAGCCCTGTCAGTCTGTGATTGTAAATAATTGGGGCCACTTTGTCTCAAGTTACGTAACCAACAGCATCAAACTTTATAAGCCAGCCGCTTTCGCAGTTTTGCCAGAAAGAAAAGTTGTCAATGTGAAGACCCATGAGACGGATGGGACAGAGCGAGACCAAGACGTCAACAGTTCACAACTGAAATGAATCTCATACCAAATGAGGTCGCATGCAGTGCGAAGGAATTGCGTGTAATATTTACGTTAGTGAACTTTTCAGATCATAGCAGCTCCCCATGACAACTGCCTAATCCTTCTCATTCTCCAGTCCAGCGGAGCTACAAGGTATAAACGACTAGCATCAAATCGATTCCGAATTAGTTCCTGTTGGAGTCCAAGCCGGGATCTGTCAACGGCGGGAGGGCGAATTTGTCAGAGGAGCTCGGAACCTGAAAGTGTCCCACGGCTTCTCTGAAGGCTCCTAAATTTCCTTGGCTTGTGGAATTTAGCTCACCCTTCTTTAAGGATGAGTCCTTTCACAGACCAGCAAGCAGTAAGGGAGATTAATGCAAGGGAGATAGTCACTTCCGGAACCCTTGTAAAAGACACAGCTATCATTAGTGAATTTCAACTTTCCATGATCGATATCCACTACCTATAAATTTAGACAGTTTTCGGTGCGTGAAGGGGTAAATTTGGCAGGTCTTTGAGTGGCCGAACTAATGCGTCTGCGTTTGATTACTGCTATACCTAAGTAACTAAACGCATTTCAGTGACATTTTGAGTTTCCATATTCATGGAGTGTAAGTGCAATAAGTGCAATATAAGTACAATACGTTAATTTCAACGACATGCTGTGGGTTAGCCGCAAATGTTTGCAATATGACTGAAAAATGAGGTTTGGTTACTGAAAGCACACATGCTGGAACATTGACGCGCCGCATGCGCCATATAACGAAATCAAACGCGGGCACCGATCCATCTGCCTATTTTCGTAAAGCAATCCAAACATCGCGTTTTCTGCTCCGGCTGTATTACAAAGATGTTTCGGAGCAGTTTCAATTGCTGGCATATAACTATTATACGCCGTGTGCGCGCGCAATGATCCGTCGTTGTGACATTTTTCTTTTTTTCTTCCTGTTTTTTTGTTGTTGTCAGGCTGGGCAGGCAGGCGTCCCTTGTCAAGCACAGCAGGCAGGCGTCACCCTTCCTTTATTTTTTTCTTCCTGTCGGGCATGCCTCCAATCTGCAGCGACGGTATGCGTCGGAGGCTGCCACCTCGGAGGATGACAACTTTTCGCCCGCATCGTGGACGGTCCAGCCATATCGGGCTCGGTTCAAACAAGATCGGGCCGGCCACGACGGAGGAGTGGGGTGCGCGACTCGCAGCAGCACGTGTTTGATCCGTCACACGGACCTGGCGTCCCGCTGTGCGCCGCTCGCCACCCAAACAGGGGTGCGACCTCGGCGACGGTCGTGTTATGGCGTGGTCTCCCTGGTGCCAATTTTGACATGGATAATATGGCAAACTGCTGCGAAGGTGCGTGCAAGTCGCCATCCATTACCACTGGCCAACGACCTGTCTCTCCGAGGCACCCTTGGCATGTGCTGGCGCGCACAAGGACAAAGTTCTCTTCTGCAGATTCGTCAGAGCGATCAACCTGGAGGTGTCCGGAGGCGCAGAGGTGGTATCTGGTGGCGGATGCCGCGAATCCCGTCCGATATCACGGTATCACGTCGGTTCAGATCAACACGCCATCGAGCAGGCCCGCCCCAGTGTCAGACCTGCCCCAGTGTGTCCGGCCCGTCCCAGTGTGTTAGGTCCGCCCCAGTGTGTTAGGCCCGCCCCAGTGTGTCAAACCCACCCCAGTGAGTCGGACCCACCCCAGTGTGTCAGACCCGCCTCAGTGTGTCAGACCTGCCCCAGTGTGTCAGACCCGCCCCTGTGTGTCAGATGCGGACAATATGACCTTGTTATCGCGGCGATCTTCAATTTCAACACTCTCTAACCCATGGTTATGGAGTCGACAATTAGGGAATATTATGGAGGTGACATCCATCGTCATTTGACCGTAATGTCTGGAGAACACTTCATCTCAAATGAATGCAAACACAGATTGGTACCCTCTCAGGGAGCAGCGGTATAGTTTCCCGCGCAGTTGGGACAGCTTTAACCCCCTATCCCCAACTTGAGCTTCAGCCCTCTCAACGTTAGGAAAAATGTGAACAAAATGTGGGGAGATGCATGTTTGTTCACATATCTTACGGTTCAGGTTATTATCTGGGGTTTGACAGGTTGAGTCATTTTTCACCGCTCATCACCCCCCTACCACCAGCTTATTTTGGAAAGCTACGTCCCTGTCAAGGACATAATTTCTCAGTATCAGGACATCGACTCCATCATTTCACCAATAATGTCCAGCAGTTTTTAACCTAAAAAATATCAGCCGATTTAACTGCCGCCAGTACCTACTACACCTGGTCAGCTGTTTTAAGAATGCCCTCAAATACTTTTAACCTTCACAAGGTAACTGAGATCTTCCTCTTGCTCGTTACCCATACTCGTTCACGAGGGCAACACCCACAAAAGTGGCTGACAATGGACCAGCTTTTTTCGTCATTGTATTTGCAAACGCCCTGAGAGCCCCCCCCCCCCCCCAACCCCCGCTAACTATGTCTCGCAGGCTGCTGTGCTAAAAACAGCTGTCTTGGGGCACTCTGAACGCCGGCAAGGAAAACTGGAGCAACGGTTTATTGAATTGTGCAGGCGCGTGTGGCTCCGACGGTCTCGGTGTGCCAGTTCTCAGGGCTCTTCCACGGAATTGGCCGCGCCGTTCGGAATGCTCTGTCACGTTTCCATCCAGATTTGTGTTGGAAGCCGGGCTGCCGTAAGTCTCGCGAGGGGCACTGATCCCCGAGCAATGACAGGGTGATGGCCGCTGCTGCTGTGCTCCCCGCTCTTCACAGAAATGATGTGCGACTGCCTGTCAGAGCGACGCCTGCTTGCTCTACCTGTCAGAGCGACGCCTGCTTGCTCTACCTGTCAGAGCGACGCCTGCTTGCTCTGCCTGTCAGAGCGACGCCCGCCTGCTCTGCTGTCGGAGCGACGCCTGCCTGTTCTGCCTGTCAGAGCGGAGCCTGCCTCACTGAGCGACGCCTGCCTGCTCTGTCTGTCGGAGCGACGCCTGCCTCACTGAGCGACGCCTGCCTCACTGAGCGACGCCTGCCTGCTCTGTCTGTCGGAGCGACGCCTGCCTCACCGGGCGGCACCTGCCTGCTCTGCCTGTCAGAGCGACGTCTGCTTGCTCTGCTTGACAGCGGAAGAACTAGGCTCACTGCCAAAGCCTTCATGCATGACCAACCTGAAATGTGTCGCATGGCCTTCTCGTCGGCTTCTACTAGTGGTACGCACAAGCTTCGGTTTTGTAAGCTGGTACAAGAGGTGGTGTTTTTCTCGCCTACTTACAAACGTGCTTTAACGAAGCGTGCATTGTGTGGACATATAACAATTGGCAGCCAGGTTATTTTCGGCCTGTAACGGCGTGAGACCAAAAGCGTCGTCTGGCTGGAGCCTCGCACTATCGTGAGACGGTCTGCCACTTCCGCTCTTCGGACTCGAGCCTCTGCAGCTCTTTTTTGCGGTGCATCAAGTATGGAAGGCGCTTTGGACCACGGCTGTAAGGGGCTGCCCCTGCAGTGCACTGCGCGCTCGCATATTCTGGTCGTGTTTGTATAGTGCGGTAGTCTCTGCTCCCTGCCAGTTTGATATCTGTGCGAGAGTTTAGAGTTGATCAAGTTCCCTTTTGCGATGCTGACCTTACGGTGTATCTGTGCAAACGATCAAGGTGAAGGTGGAAGAAAAAAGGGATGACTGGAGATTAACACGCGCCCGGGTGGCCGGTTGAATACCCTTCGCTCCAGTGAGGGTCAATTTGACCCCCTGAGATCTAAAAAAGCTAAGACAGGTAGAGACACCAAATTCACAGAATGGATTGTCCCGTACGTGGACTCACTTGTGTCAAAATTTGAGGTTCCTAAGTCATGACCTTAGAGTCAATTAAGGTCAAATAATGTCAGACACCAGGTAAGAATTTCAAGTGCCCCAGACGTCCTCGTGCATCCACCGTGAAGCTGGATGCATTTTCTAAGCCAAAGGTTAATGAGGTCAGTGACCTTTTTTGACATTACAAGGTCAAGGTGGTTTGACATTACAAGGTCAAGGTATTCACGAGATTGCTGCCATGTTGCCATTCGAATAAGGGATTATACTAGGTGGTATGGTCCTAAAAAAGTGTTGAACTCGGTCATTCGAAGTCAGTGACTTACTCTGACGTTTAACAGTCCATGGAACTTGTCTGCTGCGATCCCCGCCATTAATAAATTCGAGATGAGCACAATAAACTACCCCATAAAATCAAGTTCACAAGTTAAAAAGTAGGACAGTTTTGACCTCGGTGTGGCTTTCATACTTGGCCATAGGCCAATGAATTAGTACTAATTTTGACTTCAGCTGTTTTATTGTCTAAGAAACGATCTCAGATGTGCATGGTTTTGTCTAACACTCCTTCTTGCATTACACTGAAGAATTCCCCCGAAATGTCCTTCGCTGACAGCCATGGCCTGAGTTTGACCTGCCATAGGCCAGCAGCTTTGCAAGGTACATTTATTCGCATCAAAAGATCCGCTATTCAATTCGCTACAACTATGCAAAGTTTGGCGAGGCTACGCCGCACCGTTCGGAAATAACTCTGGGAAGGTTCATAAGGATCAATCTGGCCCCTAAGCGCGTGTTAAAAATGTACCATTCGGAAAGCCGGCAGGCGGCTTTATTGCCCATGTGTTTTGCCTGAATGTCATCGTCACTTTCATGGTTTTGATATGCTTGAAGATACATCCCCGTTTTCGTTTTGCTTTTTTGCTACACCAAAAAGCTTCCTGTGAAGCCAAGCCGCACCACCTGCGCCTTCGTCGTAAATGTTACATTAGCTGAAAGGCAGCTGCTGTCATAGGTGCACTACGGGGTTCCCTTCGTATGTGCCCAGCAATGTCTCACTTGATCACGTCCATGGCGAGGTCATATCCGAGAGACTTCACCTCCAGGAAGTTGTCATCATTTTCAATTATTTTGCGCAGCGTGATGCAGTCTTGTGATATGGCAGGGTCGTTCTCCTCGTACACACACGACACAACAATCTGCAGACATCACACACAAGCTTACATATCGCCAACTCATGCGCAATAGTCGTGAGTGCACCAATAAATACAACACTGCACCTGCTGATGTGAAGGGAAGGCGACACTGCCTGTCGAGATAAATATATATATATATATATATATATATAGGTTATATATACATACATACATATATATATATATATATATATATATATATATATATCAATTGAATGTCCGATGAATCTATGCGCTAGTCTCGCCGCAGTACCATTCATGTCAGTCTGTTCACACGCCTGCGTCTGCTCACAGCGAACCAGAGCAGGTCCTTGTGTCTCGTGCCTTCGACACGATGTTGACCTACCTTGACGTGCGGCGGTAGGCGCGTGGGCAGCCAGAGCACCTTGTTGACGTCTGTTGCGCCCGTCAGCTGATCCACACTGTCCAGGAACATCAGCAGTGGCTGCGGCGGAAGGCGGCGGGGTCACGTGTCTCCACGGCCACCGTCAATGCAGTGGGGAGGTTCAGCAATCAACTAACTCTTCTGCCGTTTTGAAGCCGTAGCACACTGTACCATACCGGGGACTGGAGCTGGAAACGGGCCAATTTATGCGGCATACCGATGGAAATCGTTGATGTGTGGTTTGGGAAATAGCTTTTAACTCGTACCCTCAAACAACCTTTCTTTTTAGGCGAATGATCTGACCACATCCATCGAATCATCCAATCATGACATCACAATCATGTTGTCCAGAAAATCATGGCATATATTGAGTGTATCAACGGCCACGTGCCCCTTAGCTTCCTGCACGCCTGTAAAGCATATAACTGCGTTCTGGCTGGCTCCATGAGAAACTGTCCTGTGGGAGTGTGAATGCGCGTGTGGTGAGGCTGGTCGGCCGTCGCGTGGGTCTCAAATACTCCCTCTGGAATATGTAGCTATGCGTCACGTGACTTTTCGATGGAAAAGCCATTCCACCATGAGGTGTATTACTACCGTTTTGTTCACTGTATGGATCTCCATTACCTAGGTAGGCAATATGACACGTATGCTGATGACATGGTGCTAGTTTTAGATATCATTTGGTCTGCAAAATCCTCTAGGTGTTCGTGAGCAATATGCAGCGCAGTAAGGTGTTTTCACCGTGTAAACCAAGATACGCTACCTTTTTCCTTTCACTCTCTGCGTCCATGTTTTAACGACTGGAGATTAATTGAGATATCGTGAGTTTTTTCTGTCTGGTTCCAATATAGCGTGGAAAAATTCTGAAATATACCTTTATCACTCCCGGTGTGTTACATTATGAACTTCTTGAAACGGACGGTTGCTACGTGTTCACATGTGGCGAAGACACGTGCCATATTTGCCACATGTAGTCTAAATATGATTATCACGATCCTCTGTGGCACCCGACTGGTGAAAAACGCCATACATACTCAGGGTTCATCATAACACCTCTGACCAAGAACGTCAACAATGGCAAATCACGCCCTCGAAATTAATTTTTGAATGAGCGACAGTGATTACAATTTTCCGCGCTTAGCAGGTTGCCGCAGACACATAGCCATAAGTCTTCTCCAGTGAATTCCGTAAAACCGCAGCTTGCCTACAACTGCAAGGCGCTATGCCCACGACCGCCGAATGCTCGTTGTAAGACAGCAGCGTTGTTGAAACGTCGTTACGCAACAGCAGGAAAGAGGTTCTAGAGTTCTAGAGGCGTTATGCCCCTCGTTGGTGTTCCGGGTAGACAATTACAGTCTGCTGGTGATGCGAGCGTCTGTTGAGTTCACGCCGTCATTCGCTGTATGGGGTTCTTCATATCGCGAGGTTTTTATGCTGAAAACGAATTGGCGTGAACCACCTTTCCGTCGGGTTTACGGCCAACACCCTGTCCTGGCATTACCCTATCAAAAAGCTCTTGCGGTGTGTTCCACGTAGCCGCGAGCGCTTGCACTTGTATACAAATTGTGAAAGCAATAGCAAGCAAGCAGCGTGCAGCCTTCTGTCTCGGGCATCCCCACGGCAGAAGACCAGACCCTCGCCCAGACAGTGACGGCTCTCTTGTGCCTTCCCTCCTTCCGCCTTCCGTTCTGCGACCCTGCTTTTAGAAATATCGCAACACGGCACGCTACCTTGCTGACGAATGATAGGCGGATTGCTTCGCGACCGGGCGTCC